AACGTGCTTTTGTTTCTGGACATTTGTAGCTTTTCATATACGACTTTTTTTCGTGTGCTTTTAATCATCGAGCCAAAACGTCAGCTGGCTGGTTTGTTTGTCTGGCTTTGCAAAAGACCCTTGTCTGTATATTTTTGCTGCAGGCAATTTCTGTCAAGACGATTTTTTTTTATTGGATGTTTATTTATTTTTTTGAATCGTTGTCCAGCATGATTTTTAACTTGTTTCCCTGAAAAGCATTTGATCCAAACAGATAGAGAAAACAAAAGGACAGCTTGAAACAAAAAAAATTCCAAAACAAACGCGATGACAATTAAGGCGTATGATTTTGTTACAGTTTTAATTTTCAATTGTCAGGAAATTGTCTCAATGAATTAAAAAACAGAACTTTAAATTGTACACTTTATAAACACAATACGATACATTTTGAGAACCTCACTGGTGATTTACGATACGATCATTGCGGTAACATACCGCATATACTGTACAATTTGCCCTCCAGTTGAAATTAAACGCCCTTTCGCCGTCTTGGAATCAATTTCGAAAGTGTAATTTCATTTGTCATGTATTTAAGAATCCTGAACACTTCACCATGACACGTGAAGCGCAAGTGTCAAGTAATTCATGACAATTCAACACGATTGGCCCATTTTACCTCGCACGTAATTCAGGCCTGTTTCCGTTGATTTTCCGTCGACCGCGCAGCTTCTTGTCGTTTTTCTTTTCCTTGTATGGATCGATTAGTATTCAGCGTTAGTGTGGAAGTGTGCCTGCAGAGGTCCGCTGGAATACGCAGTGCAGTGTCAGGTGACAGTTTAATCCAGAATAAAAACGGGGAGAAAATCTTTTACGCATGCGTTGTGGTGCAGCATTTTTGAAATGATCATGACTGTTGTTGACAACCAATCCGCCCCCCACACTCGAAAATCGAAGTCTGCGTTCTAATATTTATAATGTGGGTTGAAAATTGATAGTCGATAGCGTGTGCGATTTTATTTTATTTGTTGATACATTTTTTTAAAATGGCTTCGGTGTCGTGACGGTTCTTTAGCACGTTTCCATGGTGGCGTTTTTATGACATTATATACGGTCATCGTGTGTGTGTGTGTGTTTATTGCTTTCTCCTCCCTTTGCACGACGTAAACTGCTGAAAGCACAATTATTTGAGCCTCAAGAAGCAAAAAAAAAAATTTGAAAAACACATAAGGTTATTTACATAGGATTTCATTGTTCGCTCTAATACAAATTCCTCCTCGAATATTTATTCCGTCGTGTTTTAATGTTATTGCGAGGCCAGTAACAGTTCGGGGTACTGTATATTTAAATGCAGTCAGAAACGAATCACATTCCTTCAAATGATTTTTTTAGATCATTACTCATATGAAAATATGAACAATTTGAATAGACATTGACATTTTTAACAGAATTCCTCTCACCGTGTATCTTAATCTTAATGTAAGAAAATATAACTTTGTTGATGGAAAATCTATCATTCAGCGCAGTTTTGAGAATGAAGGATGGATCTTTTTCTGACCGTTAACTGCGGATTGTTTGGTGCTTGGTGTTTTGTGGGCCTGCTGCCGGCTCTTACTGAAATACGACGCGCCTTTTCTAAAGAGGGCTGAGCATCGGCAACGGGGCTAAAAAACACTTCACATGGAAGCCAGGCCCCGACCCAAAGCCACCCATCACCAATAAACACAACTGCTCTACAGTTCACGTCGTAAAAGGGACTTTGGAACACATTATTTTAACACTGACATACTGTATACTGTTGCACCCCAGGGTCAATTTTGATCTGAGCCGGGAATATGCTTTTAATAATTGTTGATATATTACGTTGTAAAACTGCAGATATTTTCAAAATGAATTAATCTTTTGCCTGACATTAATAAATGAATGAATAATCCTCATTGAAATAAAATGGAAAGCCTTTCTAAAAGCAGCTGAAGCCACCCACACGGTTTTGTAATTGTTGTGAGATGCCACAAGATGGCAGTAGAGCACTTTTTTTCGAATAGACAAGGCTATGACCGAACTCAATGAAGATCTTCCATTCACTTCAACATAGTCCCTGGGCACCAAACCAACATGGCGACATAGCAATATTTTCTATAGTAGACATTGCTGCGGCCTGGGCAGAAAAAAACAGCCAATGGGTGAGTTTTAAGGAAATAATGAATAGAATTAAAATATATGTACATACCATTATAGGCAGGCTACAATTGTAACATGAGGATTTACTGTATTTGGTCCTGACCGAGCTGAAGTCTTGTGAGATTTCCAATGTCAAATTACGGAAAATTAGCAATCATGACTCTTTTAAAAAATAACAAAAAGGACTTCGAAAGAGGAGGCCCGGTGGTCCAGTGGTTAGCGCGTTAACCTCACAGTGCAGAGGTACCGGGCCCAATTCCAGCTCCGGCCTCCCTGTGTGGAGTTTGCATGTTCTGCGTGGGTTTTCACCGGGTACTCTGGTTTCCTTCCACATTCCATGGCAGGCTGATTGAACGCTCAAAATTGTCCCACGGTGTGAGTGTAAGCGCGGAAGGTGGTTCGTCTCTGTGTGCCCAGCGATTGGCTGGCAACCGGTTCAGGGTGTCCCCTGCCTACTGCCCGAAGACAGCTGGGATAGGCTCCAGCACCCACCGTGACCCTTGTGAGGATTAAGCAGATCGGAAAATGAATGAATGAATGAATGAATGAATGAATGAATGAATGACTTCTAAAGATACGTCAGCTAAAATCTAGCAATCTATCCATATAGGAAATTTGCAATCGATAAATACGAGTTGTCAAAATCAGTGAATGACAGACTATTATTTGATTGACATGTTGACTATTACCCAGTTCTTGACGTGAAAAAACAGAAACAAAAACAGTCAGGATAGATTTGTGAGCCGTTCCCTCACACCACCTTCCATCGCTCATGAAGGACAACACCACCACCTAGCGACAAGAGTACCTAACTACAACACACAGTTCAAGCCTCCAAATGCCCAATGCTGAACGTTTAACCCAAGTTTGCGTCTTTTGTGTGTGTGTGTGTGTGTGTGTGTGTGTGTGTGTGTGTGTGTGTGTGTGTTGATGTGTTATCTTAAACAGGATCTACGTCAGAATTAAATTGGAACAAAAAGTAGCTCTTTCATCCCTCGTATAGTTTAGACAGAACCGTAATGCATCAGAGCGTACTTGTCCTTTCTACGGAATAATTGTTACATACTAACTCGTTTACTGGGTGAATGATAGCACAAAGTAGAACCTGGGGCAACTTTTCATTATACGAGCAATAACTTCAACGTTACACACTTTCTATTTAATTTCGGCAGCAGTTTAACTGCTCCCGTGCCGCAATATTCATGCACACTCGTGTGTGTGTGTGTGTGTGTGTGTGTTCTTATATACTTTTACGAGACCGCCTAAAATTTTAAGTCATCCTTCTGTTTCAACTAAAAGGGAGAGGGGACTACTTTTGTACTTTTGATTTTTTATTTTAGGTGTTATCTGCACAGATTTTCAGCATTCAAAAAAAGAGGACAGCGATTCACCGGTTCCATAGCGATTCAATTATTTCTCATGTATTTCTTATTTTGGCTATTATGCCTTTAATACGGGAAGCTACGATGACACAATTACGACTAGATATAGAAAGATAGATAGTTGATGTGTTTAAATAATGTTCTTGTTTCAAATGGAATAATTATCTTCTAAAATAAAAAGTATACCTTTTGAACAGTAGATTATTTAAACATAAACGTGGAATAAGAGGCAACGGGAAATGAAAACGTAAACAGCAACAATAAAAACCCGAAATGTGCAAATAAAAACTCGCGAAAGAAATTAGAAAATAAATACAGATGCAAGATGCACTTATACGGAAAAATATAGACAATGGAATGAAAATGAAATAAAATGGCAAGATTACAGTTGCGCCTGAAAATGCGGAAAATAAAACAAAAAACCTTTAATGTGCATATAAAAGCTCTCAAATAGGAAAACAAATAATACAAATAAAGAGGAAAGTGCAATTAAAGGCTTACACGTGTCGAAAAATTGCAAGGTAGCCTGCACGTGCAGCTAAAATATTTAGGGCGGTGCGAAAAATGTACGTCAAAACAAAAACGTAAAAGCAATCACGACGCCAATTCGACGTACAGCGACGCATTCAAATAAAGTAACGTGAATTGACGTGTCGACGAGTTTTCTCTTCAATTCGTATCCTCTCGTTTTCAGTTCATTGTCGAGCTCGCGGCGGCACTTTTGTGCTTGAGTAAACAAATACGGAATTCTTTCTTTCTTTCTTCGGGTCCTTTCTTTTCGATTGCTGTGCTTGGCTTCCTGGCTCCTTTTGTGGTCTGGCGCTTTTGCACCGAGGTTCGAGGCCGTCGGCTCCCCCGCACCAGCCCCCCAGCTCAGACAATGACTTTAACATTTCGAGGTGCAGTCGAGGCAGGGAAAGGATGTCCAATAAAACCATATAGTCACCGAGACTGTCTGGTCTTAATTGCTTTATGGCTTCTTTTTTTCTCTCTCTCTCGCGCTCTCCCTCTTTAAAAAAAAAAAAAAAAAAGCCACGTCTTTTCTATGCGTGTGTGTGTGTGGTGTGTATGTGTGTAGGATGGCAGAGTAGTAGTGGGGGCAGGGGGAGAAAGTCACGTTTATTCTCCAAATGCATGCTGTTGCTTTATGACCCTGCAGGAGGATGCACTTTATATGGCGGCCATAAACGGGAGGCTTGCCGTGTGGACTTCGGGGCCTGCACAACATATTTTGACAAAACAAGAGCAAGGGGGGGGGGCAGGGGGGCAAAGTGTCTGTGTTTTCTAGTTTTGGGTAGATTGGAAAAAAAAACCCACGGGTAAAAGGCAATCCTATTATTAATGCTCACTGAGCAAGGGAAATAAAGGTCCCAAAATGTAATTTCATGATGCCTGTCAGGGTCATTGATCTCGGAGGTGGGTGGGTGGGTGGGGGGATGACTAATAATGCATATGCATCACTGAGGTTTGTAACGCAGTTTATTTACTTTAAAAAAAAAAAAAGTAGGAGAGCAGACATGATATCTGGGCTCCAGTTGTGTGACGGACATCCCACGGAACACACACACTGTCGGTTGTATTGAGTTGTGTGTCCGCAAGTAGAAAACAAGAAGCAGCAACATTCACATCAGTGTTGTTGTTGTTGTTGTGATCTGACACCTAGCAACCACAGTGCGTTTGCCCACGTGAACAACAACAAATATACAATGACGACAACAACACAAGTCTGTTGGATTACACATGCAGTTTATATAAAAAAAAAAAAAATAGTCACAACATTTTCGCTGTCAATGGGCAGAAAAACTTCGCTCATTGGAACCACAAGCGCTCGTTTCGAAACAAACAGTTTGCTTGTCAAACAATGGTTTGGTTTGCTAGTGGTTTGGCCTTTAGAAAAGATTTCAGCCGGACATGTGAAAATTATGTTTTTCTGTAATTCATAATAAATAACCATAACAATCTCAACATAAGAATTAAAGACTAACATTTCATATTGATTAGCTTAGAATGGACTAGTGGTTAGCACATGTGTCTCACAGTTCTTGCATCTGCATCACTGAAGACTAAATTTTGCACTGATGTCAATCATTTGGCAAATTTCTCGCCTCTGTGTAGCTCCTGCCACAAGCACAATGAAAACATGTATAAGTCGACAAGTGCATCATGTGACTCAAAAATGTAAAACCCAGCTTACTTTAAAATAAGAATAAGAATAAGAAAACCTTTATTCGCCTCACAATGGAGAAATTCCCAATTTACAGCAGCAAAGTTATGAAAGGATTATATATTGTGCGTGTGAATGGTTAGTTGTCGAAATCTTAGTCTGTAAACAACTAAGTAAACGAGTTTCATCTCATTTAATTTAAATCTGCGCATGTGCAGTTTTCTAGGAAAATGCAGTCTGCTACATGCTAATGCTAACCAAACGCAGTGAGGTGGTTTCCATCTCGTTTGCTTATTCCCATTTGTGTCCAGGTTCTGGAGAAAATGATTCATTTATAAAATCGTACCTTTTGTGTGTACAAAAACAACACAGCAGCTATTAGCCTGCGTGACGGACATAAGACCGGTGCCTCATTATGTATATTGGAGTCACATGCTAACTGTCACTACATGCTAAAGCTAACCAAATGCAGTGAGGTGGTTTCCATTTCGTTCGCTTTATTCGCTTTATTTATGTCGGTGTCCGAGAGAATTGTGTCTTTTTTGGTCTTTATTAAAATAAAATCGTACCTTTTGTTGTACAAAAACAACACAGCAGCAGTATGTTCGAGTCACACACTAGCTGTCGCTACGGGCTATTTCTAGCCAAATGCACTGAGGTTTCTATCTCGGTTGTCTATTCACATTTATATCGACATCCCAGAGAATTGTGTCTTTTTGGGCTCATTTGTAAAATTGTGTTCAGAAAAACAACACAGAACCGGTTAGCTTGCGCAAAGAAGACAAAACTGCTGCTTCTTTATGTATGTTGGAGTCACATGCTGACCGTCGCATTGTTTCGACACATTATGTATGCATGTCACGTGGTTGTTATTAAATTACGGCGGGGACAACAATTTCACTTCTGATACAAGCCATGTTGTAAAAAAAAAACAAAGCGCCGTGACTGTCTATTGTAGCAACTATGGCATATGTCACATTCAACAGAGTTTAACAAAGACTAAAAACAATGATGACTGCTGAAGCACATTTTGAGTAACAAAAGATGGCAAATATACCTGTAGAAACCTTGTGAATGCGCCTTCTCGTGCCGAAACCAAACACTAACCAAACATGCAAATATCACCTAATTTCGTTTAAGATGGTCAATACTTACAGATTCCACCTTTCATCTAAGAATTTGTTAGCCATCATTTAAATTTCACACAATTTAGCATCTTCTCAGTCCTGTTTTTGTGTGGTCAAAGCATGTTTTGGTTACTCTTTCTGTGAGGTTTTATAGGTTTACATAAATCATCTTTACTGTACATGTCGGGTCATTACAAGTCATGAGATCAGTTGCGGAGTGCGCCAGAGGGCAATTTCGTAGAAAGTTGTCCAAAGAAGTCTGAGATGAGTTACAAGAGTGTGTACAAGCAGAAATTAAGTAGTATTTCCTAACATTTTACACAACGCGCTGTCAAAGTTTTCAACTAAACACAATGCTACAAAATTGTTGGGGTGTGACACGTCATATTGAGAATTTTGGTTGGAAATTGTATGTTAAGACCTAGACGAGTAATCTGTGCAAGAAGCGATGATCTCCATCACGGTGCTCGAGCATTTCCTAATATTTGACAAAGTTTTCTAGTAATTACAATACTTCACAAACATTAAAAAAAACATGGGAGCGGAACGGGCGTGCAGCATGTCATGATGAAAATTTAGTAGGACATTACACAAAAAGTTTTTGCTTTTTTTTTTTCCTTTCTGCACCATTGCGACACAGCTCTGCAAAAATTGCAAAGCCTGTTACGATACATTCCATGAATTTGGCTGACATGCTGAGCAAACACTTATATATTTTACAATAATTTGATTTCATATTTCCTGCCATCTACTAATTACAACCACCTTACCTACAAATTTTCATTTGAGAATGTATTCATAAATTTGAGAAAATGTTAACCACTAAATTATGTTCACAAATGTAAATAAATAATTAATAGCCAGCCCCCCAATTTCTGTGCACTTTGGCCATATTTCCTAACATTTAAAACCACATGTTATGGATGGATATTGTGAAAGAAAATTGAACGCTATTTATAAACGGACAAGAGCATGACTGCAAGTAAAACTCAGCCGCAATGCAACTTCGCGGGTACATTCCACCAAAATGGCTGACATTTTGCCACAAAAATTTGAAATTTTGCCAGATTTTTTTTTTTTTAGCAGTCATGACAACACATCACAAAATTCTGACGTAAAAAGACAATGTGTTCTCAAAATAATTTAGTTGGAATTTGTACAAAAATTAGTGAGACTGTCAGGAACGAAATTAATGAAAATACTAACATCCGCCACTGTACTTTCCACAAAAATGGCTATATGTGTATTTCCAGCAACATGATAGCGAATCCCCTCAAGAAAAGTAGCAAATTTTTTTGACAAAATTCTCCTGACTGGGGGATCGAACCAAAAACTACTCTGACCTTTGGTACAGTCTGCAGATTTTAGTGCCTCATAGTTTGAGTTCGCTATGATTTTGCGTAAAAATCAGACTGATATAATTTGCCATGATTTCAGTACTTAAGGCATATAATTTCCTAAATCCTAAAAATTGCACAAAATCTGACACAAAAACGTGAAATGTCACTCCAGTTTCGGAGCACACCACATTTTCAAAGTAGTTAATGCGTATGGTCAAATGTTTCAAGTTACCCCTCCAAATAATGACGACTTGCAACTAATATTTTGTTCAAAATCTGACAACATTTTTTGCAATAGAGGGAGAGAGGGAAAAAAAAATAGTTTGGTCAAATAAAATTCGGACATAATTTGGTAGCGTGACTATATTACATCCTGACGTTTTTCCCACAAAAACGTGAAACATTGTTGGCCGAATTTTCAGAGAACATCGGACTTCTTCTTGCAAGAATCAAATGAACATTTGGTACAAAAAGTGTGTTAAGCACTCACCTAAAATTGGCTGACATTTTGCGCGGAAATATTTGACCACAATACTTGAGAACAATTCCAAAGTGATCAGCATACATTATTTTCATGACATTCTTTGATGAGCATGTCAAAGTTACCCCTCCCCCCAAAAAATGTCACTTTGCTCCAAATTTAGCACATAATTTTTGCACAATTTTTTTTGTTGTACAAAATCCTACTAAATTCTCACGAGAACATGTCGACAAGCGGGACAGAAGCAAAAAATATAGTTTTGCTTTCACGTCGACATAAGTGTGTCACAGTGTGGACGTTTTTGTCTTACTTCACAAGGTTTTTGTGACTTAAAAGTCCCGTGACGCCCATTCAGCTCGCACTTGGAAGTTTGAGAAGCTTCCCCCCAATGTTTTTTCTTTTTTTTTTTTTCCTTTTCCTAAAGAAGGTGTACAGAAGCTTATGTTATAACCCCCCACCGCCCCACATCCCTTCCCATCCTATTCATTGATGCTCCTCCTTTCCCGGATCATCAGTTTCTTCATCTTCATGCGTCGGTTCTGGAACCAGATTTTCACTTGGCGCTCGGTCAGATTCAAGAGTCTGGCCACCTCCAGGCGCCGGTCCCGGGTCAGGTACATGTTGTAGAGGAACTCTTTCTCCAGCTCCAAGGTCTGGTGCTTGGTGTAAGGGCAGCGCTTCTTGCGGGTGGACTTGGCATGGATCCAGCTGGCTGATGGGTTCTCTACAGTGGGGTGGGGGGCAAAAAAGAAAAAAAAAAGATAAACATTTGTCGTACATCCACCCCAAAATAAAACGTTGTTATCTGCGAAATCCATACGGTCCTACTTCTTTAAAAGGAGCATAGTCTGGGGCTATTTTTTCCCCTCCTTCCTTCTTTCTTTTGTTTAATCTGAGAAACTGGGATGCCGCTCCCACTGTTGGTCGTTGTTTTTATGTCTCTGAGACAGGTTGCAACCGTTGAGTGAAATTCATTGCTCAGTACTTGTGACATGTGCGATGACACATTTGTTTCGGTGGAATCCATCAAAATGGCCGACATGCAGCAATTTTTACATGAAAATGTTTTCCAAGTACTTTGGTGTTTGAGTGAAAATGGAAATGTCTGCTACGATATGTTTTACAAAAAGTGCGCGACATGGCATGTAGGAAAATGTCAAATTTTGTCAATCAAGTTTTCGGAGCACTTTGGGAATATTGTTGCCCATTTACAAGGCTTTACAAAATAATAAAAAAAAAAGAATCTAGTTGAAAATTGGACTAAAGGTTTTTGGAACATGGATGGGCATGAGCTAGTCTAGTGACCCTACTCAACAAAAAATGTTCAGGCCAACGATGACACATTCCATAAAAATGGCCAACGTGCTACTTGAGAATATTTTTGCGCCATTTCTGCCAACATTTCAAAGTGGTTAGGTTAGGTGATGATCAAAACTTTTGTTTATACCCATTTCCATGCTACCCATCCAAAACATTGTCATTTTGTTACTATTGCAGTGCATTTTTTTTTGTAGGAAGTCCTACTGAATTCTCACATGAACTGAATGGAATGAATTGAAATGAATACAACTTTATTGTCAAATGAGCTGTATGTTGAACATGCCAATGAGGCCTGTGCATGCAAACAAAAAAATTCTGCAAAGAAATAAGTTTTAGAACGCTTGTCCTTTTGATTGAACCCTTGCTTGAACAACATCGTTGCCATAAATTGTGAGACAAATAAAGGTTTTCTTATCTGATCTTAAATGTCAGCAATTTTATATTTCTCAGTTTTTCCCACTGAAATGACTCTTTGGGGCCCCCCAAAAGATGTGTTTTTTAACAGTGTGCTTAATAGTGGCAGTAAACTCAATTTGCTTCAGAGCAAGTAGCAGTTTGGCAGACAGACAACAATTCTCCACGCAGTTTATTGACGTTTGCAGTAAAACTAAACATAAATCAAAGAGAATTTCGCCAAGCCCCTAACTTTGCCTAACAAAAGTGCACTTTCTTAATGCTAAAAAAACAATGTGAAATGCAGTGGTCAAGTGACCAAAACTAGCATCAATATCATGGTGTTATGACCTTCAATCAATGAAAACGCATATAAACGACGGTGCAGCAACCCACGTAGACAGACAACATAACAATTGTTTCAGGCGTATATTCTTTATCATGTGAACATCAACTAAAATTTCTGCAGCTTCCTGAGCAGTTATAACCGCCATACAGTATATGTATGTAAATATTAGTCTGCCCTCTGGTGGCACAGACCAAAAGGCGTTGCACACTCTTAAAGCATCCACACAAGATCCACAAACTGTTTCATTCTTTCCATTCGATTTAATTATGAATTTACTGTCTGTTATTATAAAATGCAACAGTGTCAAGCGCTATTTTTCTTATTCAAGAACACATAAGTGCATGTCAGTCATGGAGATAAGCGCGACAGTAACAAGCATAGGCGAAATATTTTCCCACATTTTTTTTTTTTTATGGTTTGGAGTGTAATATCGGTAATCGAATTTATTCCACCTTGCACATTGAAGTTTGATGAGAAGCGCCCGAAGAATTTTGAGACACCCACTAGCTTATTTTCCATCCTTGCCTCCCTGATGCCATCCCATTCTATTCACCGACACGCCTAAAATGAGGTTTTCCCCAAAACGAGCCCCGGGAAGACCTTTTATGACTGGATGGCTTTTGGGCTCATTGGAGATCTGGCCATGATTGTTTTTTATGTATTCTTTTTTTTTATATTGCCATTCACCCTCACTGCTTCCCCAATCCAAAACATCTTGTCAGGTTTTGTAAGAAGTGCAGTTATAAATCCCGACAAGTCCGATTCTGTAAGGACTCGGGCCTCGGTCATTAAAAAAAAAAGGGGGGGAAAAAATCGAGATATCCTGATCTGTGCGTTTTATTGGCCTCCCTTCTGGGGTTCAAAAATATGGCCGGTCTTGAACGTTCAGGAGCGCCGAGCAACAAGTATATATGAGGCTCGTGTTTCACACTCTGCCATTTAGCAGCTCGCAGCTATTTTAAAGCCTCTTGATTTTTTTAAAATGTTTTTTTATTTAGCACCAAGATGACCTGGAAAATTCACTCTGCCCTGCCTGACGTTTGACTCTTTTTGCACAGTGTAGGATATATATCATAATCGAGTCTGTCAAAGCAAAACAGCAAGATTGCTTTCATTCAGTTTGCTTTTTCGCGACATTTCCACGCAGCATTGGGATGAGCTTGAAAATTCTCAATGACTTGACTTTTCACTCTCTTTTCCCCACCTTGTATATGCACAGGCGTATTTTATACATGCAACATGGCTTGTGGAAACGACTTCGATTGATTTTGAAACATTTTATTTCTGTATTTATTGAGCACTAGGATAATCCGAGAAAATTTCTCTCTGACCAGCTTGAATTTTCATTCTTTTAGCCTTTTATGCACCTTTAAAAATAGTGACACACCCAACAAAATATTTTATAGTGACAGATTTTGTTTATTTATTTTTATGATTAGTATTTTTTTAAAGCACTGAGATGACCTGGAAAATTCTGATTTGACTTTTTGCTCTTTTCACACCGCTCTGCATGCACTGTGAAATTTTATGAGTGTAACATATTCAGATTCTTCTTTTTTTTTTCATTTCAATGGATGTATTTCTATTTATTTATTATATTAGTTTTAGTACTTGACCTAGAAAATATTGACGGACCGAGCAGCAGTGGAACACTACATGGCGTCAAAATGGCATAACACCCAAATTCCTTCAATTCATCTCATCTTTTTTATTCTCTGCACCACTTTAAGCAGTTGGATGACCTGGAAATTTCTCAGTGACTTGACCTATCACTTACTCAAAAGAACATTGTTAAGGCACTGGAATAGCAAAACAACTAAATTGCTTTACTTTTTTTTTTTTGTTCTTGACCTGGAAAATTCTCATTTTCCAGCATGACTTTTCAGTCTTTTTGCACGCGCACACTCGCACGCACACACACACACACACACACACACACACACCAACACTAACGCACACCGTGGCACAAGTTGTAAGTTGCTCTATTTTTTTTCTCATAACTTAATCTATTATATATTATTCAAATGAGCCGCTCCACTTTTCACTCCTTTTCTCCACACAAACGGCGGCATTGTGACATCGTTGCTCAAATTCAGATTTTGTTTTCGTGAATTTCGCACTGCCATTTCCTGAAAAGGGTCACGTGTACTATTTTCACTTGTTTTGTACCCAGACATGCACAAAAATACTTTGCTTGACATTGAAATCGGCACTATTTGTGTTATTTCCGTCCTTGAGTTAATTGGATTAATTTATATGGCTACCGATGCTGACTAGTTGCATTTTATGATTTAACCCACACCCGTGTTTTTTTTTGTTGTTATCTATAGGAAGTTATATTTTAGCAGACTTGGCCTTTCCCAAAATTTTAGTCATTATAATTATTATTTTTCGGTACCACGCTCATGATTTGTGAGGGAAGGTGTATTTACCTCACGACTCCATGACATATTCCTGTTCCGATTTTATCGTCAAAATATCGAAACGTAAAATACACACGCGGAACACTGACAGAGATACACACACATTCTGCCTTTTAAATATAGCAATGCTCCATTTTGATATTTATTTTACGTTTATAGACCGTCGTGTACAACTGCAGTATTGGGGGGGCTGTTTCTCTTCTGCCACGAGTGGTTAAACCACGTCACCGCAATATAAGGAACAGCTATCACAGCAGTTAGACGCCATAAAAACGAAGCATGACAACTTGTGGTTGTCTGCCCGATTCTGCTTGCTTCTGGGGGTCGTGCAGGGGTCCCTAATCAAGTGTCCGACGAGTGCATACGTGTTAATGCTGCGGCGTTATAAACGCACCTGTGCTGCGGGGATGGCGTGGAACGTGCTAAATAACAGCAAAAGTCGCTCTAATTATTTTAATGGACAATAAAGTTTAATACATTGTCGTTGAGGCCCAGAGGACATTTATAGGCCAATAAAAGTCTCTCACACACACTTCCTTACATATGGCCTCATTCCTGCACACACACACGAGCACACAGACGCTTACATCCGCACACATGCACACACTTCTCTCAGGCATAAGGTTCTGGACTTGCACGTTTATTTACCTGGGTCAGGCTGCACCGGTTGTCCTTTCTTCGTGCCTTCCTGGTCCTCCTCTTCGTCCTCCTTTTTGGGCTCCGGCTTCTTGCGGAGCTCCTCGGGGGTTCCCAGCCGCTCGAGCACCACTTCTCCCGGGCTGGCGAAGCTAGAGTCTCCCGGGCTGTCGCGCGACCGAGGCGGCGAGCTGTCGGGCTTCACCGCCTCGAACCTCGGGCTCTGGTTCGAGGGGCAGCCCTGCGCTTGTGGCAGGCACGCGGCGAAGTTGCCCTCCGCGGTGGGGCCGGGGCCCTCCCAGCAGCGGACGAAGCGGCCCTCCGAGGCCGGGGCGAGGTGCTCGGCGTAGTAAGAGGGCTGCTGGGGCTGGAGGTGTGGCGGCGGCGGCGGCTGCTGGTGGTGGTGGCCGAGGAGGTGGTGCGGGTGGAAAAGCCCCGTGATGGACGCGCCAGGAGCGGCCTGAAGCGGCGGGGAAGGGGGCGACGACGCCGAGGGGGGGTTCGTCCACGGCGAGAAGCCATTCAAGCCGCTTTGCTTGTTGGGGAAGTGGGCAAAATCCGGAATGTGCGAGCCCGGGGTCCCCTCCTCCTCCTCCGCGCCGCGGGATGGCTTTGCGCAGCCGGCCGTCGACGCCTGCAAGCCTGCCGGGAGGAAATGTGCGCCGTACGGCTCCTCAGTCTGCAGCCCCATCATGGAATAATAATTTGTTAGCGACATGTTTATTTTATTATTTCAATAAAAAAGACACTTAAAGGCGACTGTAAAACCTTAGATGGGTCAGTATAGTGGCTTCCATCCTCCCCTAAAATGGTAGTAATTTTTTTCCTGCCCTTACCTTCTCCTCAGCCGCCTATTGGTTATGGCGCGGATCACATGGTCACACTGTATTTACCCAGCAGAGCAAATAAATCAAATCATTCTTTTGTGCTCGCAAATGTGATAGGAGGCCTGTGCTATGCCAGATGGACGTGCACACGCGCGCACACACGCACACACACACGCACACACACACACACACGTGCGCGCGCGCACATACATATTCACGTACACACAGATACACACTAAAACTACTTTTACAGGGTGAATGAAATAGCAGAGACGTTTACAAGCACGGTAACGAGGTTTTGTGTGTGTGTGTGTGTGTGTGTGTGTGTGTGTGTGTGTGTGATACTTTCATTGCTTTCATTCTGTCTTTTTATGAGGAGAAATATGAATGAATGAACGAGCACCACTCCGAGTGACCACTCGTTCACTTTTACATCAATCTGAAAATACAACTTAATTGCTACACATGCACTTTTTCACGTGCAATACAAGCAAAAAAAAGCTTTTTTTTATGCAGAGCTTTTTCTATGCAGAGCTGTTTTCTTCTAAAAATAAAACCTAAAAATGCAATTTACAAAAACTAACTATTCACAATGGATGCATATTATATTTCTTAAAAGGCTTTATTTCTTTCTTTCTTTCTTATTTCTTATTTTCTTATTTCTTAAAACAATCTTTGCACTTTGTGACACAAAATATTGTAAAATTTCCCATAACATCTTTTGTGTATCAGATGTTTTATAGCCATGAATAAAATATGGACTAAGACATGCACGATTACATCTCTTGTTTTAATTTACAATAAATATTCATGCTCCATATGCAGCAATTCATAGAGGTGCATGAATATGAAAATTCGTTTGCATATCATTGCATATAAAGACAGTCGTGCGACTAGAATTTCTACAAAAGTTTTATAAATTTGCTTGTTTTCCTGAATATTAAGGTAAAGGCTTGCAGTTATGTATCGACTGCATTTTTGCACATTCAGCTTGGTAGTGTAGAGCAATAATTGCTATTCAAGGTCTTAAAAAGTAATTTTCTCAACACGTATATTATAAATTGCTAAGTCATATTTCTCCTCTTCACAGCACATACATTGTCACAGCGCCACCTGTTGGCTGGATGAATTAAAGCTCTTTCAATGAGGCCTTCATTTGTCCTCAGCTAACCTCCATGGAACCTCATTCAATAAGCGTATTTATTATGCATTGGTGCTTAAAAATAAACATTTCAGTGTGAGCGGGATCCCCCTGGAATTGAACACTACTGCAGCTACATTTCACCAATCAGGCTACCACATGAAGTTTTCCATCTGCAGACGTCGGGGTCGGGGGGAGAGGGAAAAATAAAAACAGTTAGCAGCTTGCATGCAGCCAACACTTGAGAGCGGCCATATTTCACCTCCTAAAATGTCCTCGCTGCTTTATCGGCCTAGAATAAACCCCCGCCAGTAGGTCTGGGATTAAAGAGAGAAAGGCATGAATCAGCTCCTAAAATGTCATTTAGCTCTTAGCTCCTAGTTAGTAGTGGCTGTGGCTTGCATGATGCAGCCCTCGGAGGTTTGTGCCTGCCTCAAGGGGGCGCTGACTTCTAGCCGTCTGAAGCTTACACCTATATTACCACAGAGGAAGTGTTAAAAGTTTTGTTGGAAATCCCTTTGGATTTACTAACAATGATTATCAAAGTGTGGTAATAGTACCAGTAGAGGTAGGTGGGCTCCCTCTAGTGGTATGTGAAAGGATCACTCAATTAAATACAAATGCATTGTACAAAATTTAAAACGTGAAAGGCAATCAATCATTGAGCATTGCCTTTTTGGGGGGGAGGGGGGGATATCGTTCAAGGCCTACGGTAGAGGACTATTTTTGTTATTTAAAAAAGAATTTCAAAAATTTTTGCTGGTGTTTTTTTTTTTGGGCACCGGAATTTTCCATTAATTTGAATGCCGGGATTTGACTGGAAATACAAATGATTTCAGTAAAGCCACTGAATTAATTAAACTCTTAAGTCAAGGCAACACTGTTTGATGAAATAATAGGTTATCAAATATAAAAATTAAAAAGCAATTGTATGCGAACTGTTCATTTAAAACAGTAAAGCTACTGTATTGGTCTTTCGAGTATTTCTCCTTCCAGTAATGCTTTTATTCCGCTCCTCTCTTTCCATAAAACCTCCCACATCACCGCAGTGCACATTCTACACATAAAAGAGCTCATACCTGGCATCGACCTGATTTGCATAATTGCATTTCCGGCAAGATGTTAATTGTGTTCCCACATTGCATAGACTTGGGTCGTCAAAATGACACCGAGGAATCAATCAGAATCCAACGTGATGTGTTCTCATCGCATATTGCTATCGCCTATGGAAATGTCAACGTTATCTCACTTGGCAAGTGGATGGCCTCCACTTCTATGGAGAGCGCCTTCAGCATTTGTTCCATATCCCTGCAATCCAGCTCCAGGTCCGTCGACTCGTCGACTCAATGACCTCACGAGTAAGACAAATTCAGCACATTTCGTGTGATCTCAACTCTGCTTTATTTCTTCTTTCCGTAGCTATCTCAACTCTTGAATAAACGCTCAAACAACTTTATGGTGAAACCATGTGAGCATTTCTGCGATCTCCTTGCTATCCATCTTAAGGTCCATAAACTAGCAAGCTGGACAAGTTAGCACACACACACGTAGAATGACGAGGGAGCACCAAAACCTCACTTTATGCCTTTTACTACCGGATGGCATTTCTGCACACTCGAGAGGCAAAACTGTCCACCAGTTGACTCGTCTCCACGCTATTCATACAACATGTGAGGCGTTAGATGTTAACTAGTAGAACTCAAACTGTGTAAAAATATGTAGTAGAACTAGTAGCACACCGTTGTTAACCCTTTCACGCACCAATAATTAAAGAATGCCAAAATTCTCCTGCCGGTGTGCAGAAATGTCATGCTTGTTGTTATACTAGTGCCCTGAATTGTCTTTACTCGTGAGGACAAGGAGTCGACTAGTACACTGACCTCAAGCTGGATATCAAGGATATACAGTACTGTCAGATAAATGCTCAAACACTTTTTAGAGGTACTAGTCGTGTAAAAAAAAACAAAAAAAAAACATTCTAATAAGACGCAGTCATTTTGGTCATCCTACTATTGAACTTATTTGTCTTACTCGTGTGCGCTAGTACATGGACCTTACAATGGCGATCAAAATGCGGAATCAAACAAAAGGCTTTCCATTAACTAGTAGCATATTATATTCTTACTAATAGTACTAGAAGCACGCAATTGTCACTGAGTACGGTTTTACCTGACTATTAATATGTAGTTGTCCTAAATCGTGTACAGAAATTGCTTATATGTTGTTTTACTTGTGCACTGAATTCTCTTTACGACTCTTAGTGAGGTCAAAGAGTGGACTAGTACATTGAATTTGAGATGGATATTAAATCAAGGCTTCAGTTGGTTTCCAGAGACACTAGTAGTGAAAAAAGACCTTACTTAAGACATACAGTCATTCCACAAGTGTTTTGAAATTTCTTTCGTGAGGAGCGTACTAGCACGTGGACCTCAAGCTTGATACGAAGTATATTGAAAAATGCTAAACTGCCTTTCAAGAGGCACTAGTCATGGGGAAAAAAAATTACTAGTTAGACAGTCATTCCACTACTGCATTGTGTTACTAGTGAGGAGAAAGGGTGTACTAGCACATGGAATTCAACCCTTTCAGGCACAGCGGTTACTCCAGTGGACAGCTTATCATGTTATCAGGTTACAGGTTATCATTATTGGTGCATGAAAGGGTTACGCTAAATCACAAGGAAACTGAATAAATGCTGCACAATAACAAAAAAAAAAACCCAAAACTTTTCATACACTTCAGGTGGCAAAGCACACTAGATTCCTTTTTTTTTTCTTTTTTTCCGCTGGACTTTAAAGGTTGATCAAATGACAATGAGGCAGTAATGCACAATAAAGTGGAAGTGCATGAGTGTTGGCCCACACAGCTGAACAGGCTGCTGCCGCACTTTATTGCCGCTCATTTAAAACACAATCTCCTCTTTCATGTGCCTGTCTGTGTCTGTGTGTGTTCACGTCACACACAGACACACACACAGACACACACACACACCTACACACATAGGCAGACAGGCTGTGGAATGAATGTGAAGAGTGTATTACCCCCCCAATAAAAGTGGCTGTGCTGGTGGAAATTGCGGGACTGGGAGGTGCTGATGTGTGCGGTTCAAGTTTCAGACTTGGACTCGTCTGAGACACACGTACGCGCGCGCACACACACACACACACACACACACACACACACACACACACACACGGGATGAGTTTGTGTCTTGGATTACCCTTCACACATGGACGGTACACAAATGTGCCGTAACCTAGCAACAAAGTGAATTTAGTAACACTTGTAGTTGTGTTAAAAAAAAACAACAATGCTTAAGTCACGATGAAGCATGAAAATGAGAGTTTCAGGTATAAAAAAGAAACAGCATTTGGCAGCGTGACCTTTTGGACCACTACATTCGCCTAACAGTAAATCCTTTGATGTAATTAATTTATTAGCTCGTTCACTCACAGCCGTTTTCCACATATTGCCAGTTGGTGGAAGATCTGTTACAATATAGCGAAGCAACACCAAAAGAAAGAGCCGAATCTCGTCTTTGGCCAGAGAGTTTGTTTCTTTTCCCTTCTTTAGTCCCCCGCCCCACCTCACACCATATTTGTGTGCTTATGCAGTGTGAGAGACGTGCCAAAATCATGTCACGTCGCTGAAATTGCTGTCCGCCCTGTCATTATGAGGTAACTTCCCCTTCAATTAAACTTCTGAAGAAAAAAATATTTACACTCGTGACTCCAGTGCGAATAAGAGGTAGATAATGAATGAATGTTTTGTAATTGTCATCCTATTATGTGCACAGTTGGATGTTGTCAAGCGAAGCATGTCCACTCTGTCATCGGAAATATCAGCTGATGTAAAAAATAAATAAATAAAATTGTTGGCTTTGCGTGCACATGCCACAGAGAGAAAGGCTGAAAAGTGAGAACACAGATTTATTTATTTTTTTCCCCAAGTCCAAATTTACCGCCTCGATGCGGGCTTTGTGCTGGCGTGTCCGCTGTGGAGTGCCTCGTTGTTGCGGTGTGGGGAAAACCCCCACAAGACAACCTAGTGGGATATATTCCAGCCACTGGAGGTTTTCAGCAGATGTATTTTCAAACATCCAGTCATGCATAGGCAGAAGAATGATGCTAGACAAAGTGGCATCCATTTCCAGATTAGTATTTGTTTGACAGTTGAAAGCTCAGGGTGGCATGTTTTCAGTTCATGTGGTGGATTTCAGAGCGGCGAGAACTGTTTTGTATATATAATACGATTTCCAATCCTCATTTTATACACTTAATGATTGTTTCTAATCATTTTAAGTTTGGCTTGGTTGTTCACGACACCCTTCTATTTTGGCTAATCAAATTTACAAGCGGTTCATTTTCACTTGACAAGGACTTTTAATTTGGATCTTCCTCCATTTGACAGTCAGCCGAGATTTCATTCACTCCAATGTGAAATTGCATTTTATGCTGTGCGTGTGTTTTTGTTTTTAATGTCTTTTTTAAAAATCTGTGATTCTTATGCATATGACGCTTTGAGCGTCACCGTTTTAATGGGAAAGCATTTCGATTATGAATAATCCCCATTTCAAATTTGCTTCGATATTCTTCATCTAAACGTCGACAATTCACGCATCCATGAGAGGTTGAAGTCCATTGCAGTAGTACTGCATTCTACCCAGCTTCTTCTCCTTCATTCGTCTGTTCTGGAACCAGATCTTCACCTGTCTGCACAACAACAACAGGACACATTCAGTTGATTTCCAAAAATATCATAAATCCCCCAAAAATATGAAGGATCCTAAAAAAAGACATCTGATTTAATGTAATATTGGGGGGCAGGTTCTTCGCTGGCCAAACAAATGACAGCATGTGGTCGGATTTAGAGCCATGATGTCACTCGCTATCATCGTAAACATCATAGAGTGAATATCCATTACAAATCGGAATGGGCTATTAACATTGGTGTGTAAAGTAGTCATGCGGCAATATTTTAACCCTTAAAGGGGAGGTCAGGTCAAAAGTTGAAAATATTGTGTTTGTAGGATATGAATGAAGCAGAAAAGTCCTCCTATTTTGATCCATCTCAGGGGGGCGGCCAAATGACATCACAGTGCCAAAGGCCTCAGGCAACGATCGTCAGGCTCACCTATTTTCTCGGTTTGGTCATGTGACCTTGGTAAGCTGGAAACAGTAAAAGGTGTGGAATTGTGCTGCATGCTTTGAATGGGAAAACATAGCACCACCCGGTGGAAAAAAAAATTGAAATCAAATGGACCTGAAAGCCAGCAGTCCAAATTGAGATCTTAACATAAAAGTTATAATCAAGAGTACATTTTGTTGTTGTTGTTGCTGTTGATGTGTAGTTTGGCCTTTTTTGTTTTTTGTTTTTTTTTGTTCATTTATGAGTTTTTTTCATTCAACAGAAGTGGAAAAAAATAGCTTGAACATTAAAAACTGAATGAATCTTTTGCTACACCTGACACTCACTCCTGTTCCGTTCCTTTCTCAGGAACAGCAATAATGTTCCTGGGTCAAATTGACCCGGGGCATGTTTAATGATCCAAACGAGATGCAAAGCAAAAAAACATCACATTAATATAATCAAATCATTCCTCCACCTAGAAGAATGTTCTTACAAGTTTACTTTGATTTTTTTTTTGGGGGGGGGGGGCGGGGTTCAACTTAATGATTCAATTTCAGCCAAGACATAACAAAATGATTCTTTCTTATCAAAAAATTCATTCGAATAGAGATAGATGGCTGCCACAGCCAAGTAGTTGAAGCCACTGTTGCTATGTAACTGCTTTGCATACAAATAAAAAAACATGTGAAACGTTCTTCCCTCTGCAGGAACAGGAAGGAGCCTGCATGGAAACTTGAGGTGTCATCGAAGAAGCTTCAACTCAGCAAGAGAGGAGACTGCTGCTTTCCATACACGTGTTGTTATTTTTATGTATTGCGCAAGGTGACATACGCACACACGCGCACACAAACACGTACCGGTCAGTGAGGTGCAGGAGACGAGAGAGTTGAGCACGTCGCTGCTTGTTGACGTAGATGTTGAAGAGGAATTCTTTCTCCAGCTCTCTGATCTGCTGCTTGGAGTAAGGGCAACGCTTCTTACTCGTCCTCGCTGCAGCTGCGACACAAGAACGCATTTGTCACAGTTCAACAAAAGAGAATATCGGACATTTTGGTCACATTTGAAAGCAGAGGAAACGTTGCAATTTTGAAAGGAAGTGCAGAATATGCTGGGCGCATTGATATTAATGAACTTAAAATGCAGTTTTGCTCTTATTTTTAAAAATTACAATTCAAAATATCATATTGAAATGTTGATTTCTCCTTTTTATTTTACTTGAAAATATAATTCAGACCTTATTTCGTCGCAACGTATTTTGATTGTTTTGGTAAACCACGTTTCTTTAAAAAAAACAAATAGTATTCTCTTTTGGTATTCAATCTTTTATGGAAAACATTTTGAAAAATGTAATATTGACTTTATAATGTATTGAAATAATTATGGACCGTTTAAGTCAATTAGACTGCCTAAAATATAGCAGCCGACTTAAGTTTCGTCTTGAAATATTTTGGTATACACTTATTTGTATTATTTAAATACCAGTTGACTGTTCATTAACTCATTTTACATAAAGCAGAGTAGGCTAGTCACGTTTGGTCTTGAATTGTTTGATTTATATTTAAAATGGTTTTATTTTACAGCATTCAAAAACAATATTAAAAGCAGTCACACTTTTGTTTGGTCTTTCATCGTTTTAGAATCATTTATTTTTGTGAGCTTTAGTGTCTACCTTATAGTTTACTGAATTTTTATTTTCACCTCTTCATGAAATATTTGAAATATACTGGCCTTTGTTATGCTAAAATCATGTTTTTCACGTTTTATGAGGCGTGGGGACTGTTTTACATTTCCCCCAAAGTAAACATTACAAACCTCACAAACTATAACCTTGGACGTTATTAAGGGCGTTAATTGCTCTGGTGGCCCTTAAACTTCATTTATGAGTTTAAGTCATGTCATTATTTTTACTCAAGCGCGAGCTATTTATAGAGTAAGAATACACTTTGGAAAAAAAAAATCCAAGGCTATATTTAGTCAATAACATGTGCGTTCCGTCCACTCACTCGGGCCTTGACCGAACCGACCTTCGCAGTAAGGTGGGTCGAACTCGACCTTCCTCCCGTCCTCGGGTGATTCGCACCCCGGCATGATCTCGTTGCTCTCCCCGCCGTCCCCGCTCGATATCCCGGGTGACCCCTCCGCCTCCGCCGCTCCTGCTCCGACATCCAACGCCGTTGACCGGCTTGCCTCGGTTCCTCTTTTCCGGGGGAAGAGAATCTGTTCCTGTCGGGTTCCCCCGTACAGAAAACAACCCGGACTTGGGTCCGCCGCTGTGCAGGTCTCTGGGAAGGTGTGGTAAAAATGTGGCGGAGTTACGGGAGGACGGCCAGCTTGGAACAGAGCCCACCTTTCCGGCGGAGGATGCTCATGCGAGCGGGGTTCCGGGACGCAGAGGCCCCGGTAGCCCGCGGCCAGAGCCGCCGCCGCCGCAGTTGCCGCCGGCCGCGCCGGGTTGGGGCCACCAAAAAAGACATCTGATTTAATGTAATATTGGGGGGCAGGTTCTTCGCTGGCCAAACAAATGACAGCATGTGGTCGGATTTAGAGCCATGATGTCACTCGCCATCATCGTAAACATCATAGAGTGAATATCCATTACAAATAGGAATGGACTATTAACATTGGTGTGTAAAGTAGTCATGCGGCAATATTTTAACCCTTAAAGGGGAGGTCGGGTCAAAAGTTTCAAATATTGTGTTTGTAGGATATGAATGAAGCAGAGAAGTCCTCCTATTTTGATCCATCTCAGGGGGACGGCCAAATGACATCACAGTGCCGAAGGCCTCAGGCAACGATCGTCAGGCTCACCTATTTTCTCGGTTTGGTCATGTGACCTTGGTAAGCTGGAAACAGTAAAAGGTGTGGAATTGTGCTGTAAGCTTTGAATGGGAAAACATAGCGCCACCCGGTGGGGAAAAAAAATTGAAATCAAATGGACCTGAAAGCCAGCAGTCCAAATTGAGATCTTAACATAAAAGTTATAATCAAGAGTACATTTTGTTGTTGTTGTTGCTGTTGATGTGTAGTTTGGCCTTTTTTGTTTTTTGTTTTTTTTTGTTCATTTATGAGTTTTTTTCATTCAACAGAAGTGGAAAAAAATAGCTTGAACATTAAAAACTGAATGAATCTTTTGCTACATCTGACACTCCTGTTCCGTTCCTTTCTCAGGAACAGCAATATAAGCTTTGAATGGGAAAACATAGCGCCACCCGGTGGGGAAAAAAAATTGAAATCAAATGGACCTGAAAGCCAGCAGTCCAAATTGAGATCTTAACATAAAAGTTATAATCAAGAGTACATTTTTTTGTTGTTGTTGTTGCTGTTGATGTGTAGTTTTGTCTTTTTTGTTTTTTTTTTTTTTTTTTTTTGCTGAATTATGAGAGTTTTTTTTCATTCAACAGAAGTGGAAAAAAAGAGCTTGAACATTAAAAACTGAATGAATCTTTTGCTACACCTGACACTCACTCCTGTTCCGTTCCTTTCTCAGGAACAGCAATAATGTTCCTGGGTCAAATTGACCCGGGGCATGTTTAATGATCCAAACGAGATGCAAAGCAAAAAAACATCACATTAATATAATCAAATCATTCCTCCACCTAGAAGAATGTTCTTACAAGTTTACTTTGATTTTTTTTTTGGGGGGGGGGGGCGGGGATGCGCAAGGTGACATACGCACACACGCGCACACAAACACGTACCGGTCAGTGAGGTGCAGGAGACGAGAGAGTTGAGCACGTCGCTGCTTGTTGACGTAGATGTTGAAGAGGAATTCTTTCTCCAGCTCTCTGATCTGCTGCTTGGAGTAAGGGCAACGCTTCTTACTCGTCCTCGCTGCAGCTGCGACACAAGAACGCATTTGTCACAGTTCAACAAAAGAGAATATCGGACATTTTGGTCACATTTGAAAGCAGAGGAAACGTTGCAATTTTGAAAGGAAGTGCAGAATATGCTGGGCGCATTGATATTAATGAACTTAAAATGCAGTTTTGCTCTTATTTTTAAAAATTACAATTCAAAATATCATATTGAAATGTTGATTTCTCCTTTTTATTTTACTTGAAAACATAATTCAGACCTTATCATTTCGTCGCAACGTATTTTGATTGTTTTGGTAAACCACGTTTCTTAAAAAAAAAAAACAAATAGTATTCTCTTTTGGTATTCAATCTTTTATGGAAAACATTTTGAAAAATGTAATATTGACTTTATAATGTATTGAAATAATTATGGACCGTTTAAGTCAATTAGACTGCCTAAAATATAGCAGCCGACTTAAGTTTCGTCTTGAAATATTTTGGTATACACTTATTTGTATTATTTAAATACACCAGTTGACTGTTCATTAACGCATTTTACATAAAGCAGAGTAGGCTAGTCACGTTTGGTCTTGAATTGTTTGATTTATATTTAAAATGGTTTTATTTTACAGCATTCAAAAACAATATTAAAAGCAGTCACACTTTTGTTTGGTCTTTCATCGTTTTAGAATCATTTATTTTTGTGAGCTTTAGTGTCTACCTTATAGTTTACTGAATTTTTATTTTCACCTCTTCATGAAATATTTGAAATATACTGGCCTTTGTTATGCTAAAATCATGTTTTTCACGTTTTATGAGGCGTGGGGACTGTTTTACATTTCCCCCAAAGTAAACATTACAAACCTCACAAACTATAACCTTGGACGTTATTAAGGGCGTTAATTGCTCTGGTGGCCCTTAAACTTCATTTATGAGTTTAAGTCATGTCATTATTTTTACTCAAGCGCGAGCTATTTATAGAGTAAGAATACACTTTGGAAAAAAAAAATCCAAGGCTATATTTAGTCAATAACATGTGCGTTCCGTCCACTCACTCGGGCCTTGACCGAACCGACCTTCGCAGTAAGGTGGGTCGAACTCGACCTTCCTCCCGTCCTCGGGTGATTCGCACCCCGGCATGATCTCGTTGCTCTCCCCGCCGTCCCCGCTCGATATCCCGGGTGACCCCTCCGCCTCCGCCGCTCCTGCTCCGACATCCAACGCCGTTGACCGGCTTGCCTCGGTTCCTCTTTTCCGGGGGAAGAGAATCTGTTCCTGTCGGGTTCCCCCGTACAGAAAACAACCCGGACTTGGGTCCGCCGCTGTGCAGGTCTCTGGGAAGGTGTGGTAAAAATGTGGCGGAGTTACGGGAGGACGGCCAGCTTGGAACAGAGCCCACCTTTCCGGCGGAGGATGCTCATGCGAGCGGGGTTCCGGGACGCAGAGGCCCCGGTAGCCCGCGGACAGAGCCGCCGCCGCCGCAGTTGCCGCCGCCGCCGCCGTGTTGTGGCCCCAAAGACCCGCGCCGACCGAGCCCGAATCAGAAGGCGGATGATTATAGCTTGGTAAATACATTTTTTTATTTCCAGTTAAAAATGTTCTCTTCACATAAAACTATAGAATATAAAATTACAGCTGCACATGGTAAGCAGGCGATAGTGGAGACGTTTGGAAAAATCATAAGACTTTGACCTTGAGCCTGCCCACATTTTTTGGTCTGCAGGGTACAATTAAACAAAGGCACCGATTGTTTTTGCTGTTAGGATCATGACCGGGCTGCATGGACTGACTCTGTGTACTTGACTTTATTTTGACTTTTTCTTCTATGGTGCAAAAAGAAGGAAAACATTCCTGGGGATCCTGTTGCTCCATAAAAGTCACAGTGGGTCTCACTGAATGTGTACCAATCATATCATCTCGAGATAGGAAAAGAATTATTCCCTAATGCTTTTTGTTGGCCCAAATCACACCTTTATGGTGATCTAGTTGATAACTACATCGTGTTCCAATTAATGAGGCAGCTGACATCTGGGATGACCCACCTTTGGGCCCTTTGGGTCCTTTGGATTGTGGGAATGAACAGCACTTCCTAAATCTTTGAAGGACAGCATTGTTAATGTCCAAAGCAGATCTACTTTTGAATGTCAACGAACGAGTCTACCAGGAGCTTGGGCTCAAAAAGAAAAGCGTCCAATCGGAGCTTGGTTGGCAGTCGCCTCGCTCAAGTCCAGTAAATCTGAGATGAGATGTCCCGGTTCTGCTTCTGCTCATGCTTTTTATGGTCGAAAGAAGATTTCCTTATCACCACTGCCGCCAAATGTCTGTGCATTTGTGGTTGCCTCGGCGTTGATTTATACGTAATTACACCTGAAAAAATATATGAGTTCAAAATTCTACCTTTGCGCATTATAATAATGCTCAAAATCTCCCCATTTAAATATGTTTATAGCATTGCCATTGTCATATACTGATATTCACAATAAAGAAAATGTAAATAATCAGTTCTAGTTCTCGGCCATAATAATAAGCCAACCACTGTTCATGTTTGGATGTGAAAACAATCAACTAGTCAGTCTTGCAAAAGTGATGTCCTTTTTTGAGGTATCAACTGTCATACAAGAGTAAAAAGAAGTTAACCAACAAAATGAGCAATAAAACTGTTAGCACTTGACTTTGAAGATTCCTGTACCCTAGTTCAACTGATAATATGCAGTCATCTGGTACTTTGTAGTTACTGTTGGGTGTTACATTGTTAGCATTTATGTTAAAAGGAACGGTAAAAGTTAGCTCTGAACTTTTCAATTGAATCCGTGACCCGGATTTGACGTGAGCTTGCTGCACTGTAGTATCTGTGACATTGAATGTGTGTGCCTTTCAAAGGTGGACCTGGCCTGTTGAATGACATGGTAGTCAGCAAAGGAGAATATAAAGTTGGCTCTCTGTTAACTGGTTAAATCATTGACCACTGTGCTGTTGAATGGCGGTGTCAGTTCAGGCCATCAGCAGGTCATGTTGTATTTGTGTTTACAGTATTTTATTTTCTTACTGTTTGTTCAGGAAAGCGATTGAAAGAGGCTGTCAGTCCTCCCTTGATCGTAACCAACTTTGGAAGAATTACAATTTGTTCTAACTCGCGGTAGAAAGCTACATTAAAGTAACTAGCAATGTCAACTTTGCCATATCCTTGTAATTTCTACCTTAAGCCACTTATACTTTGCAATAGTTTGGCAACACAGCAAATAATTGTAGCTATCAGTGCGATTAAAAAAAAAAAAAATCTGTGGGTGTGGAGCCGCAAAAAGTTACCTCTCACTATCTAGTGAGAGGTAACAGTACAGTACAGTAAAAACGCTTTGAAAAACGATCCCACGAAATGCTGTCTAGCGAGGGTTCACTGTGAGAAGCTAGCCCTTAGCACCTGATCAGCTATTAACTTCCACCTCAACCAATAGCATTCCGGGCCTTTCTTTGTCTCATCTTGACAAGTTGACCCCCTTGCCTCTCTTCTGTCTGTTTCTCGGTAAATACTTTTTTGTGTGGTGGCTGTGGGGGTTGATAATACCAAAAAGGGCACACGAGACTAATAAAGGTTTTCTTATCTTATCTTATCTTATTAGCACTTCTCGACATGCAGTCAAGTATCACCGAGGATAAAAACACAATGAAGCCCAAGGGCGTATTTCCATTGTGGTCCTCAGTACATAAAAAGACCATACGACATAAAACAAAGACATAAAAGCGCAACAAAAAAGTTAACTGCAGATAAAAGCAACAAAATAAACAGTTAGCTTAGCACCGATAAGTGATTACATTCACACTAGTGTAGCATTTTCTCATCTTGCTGATTAGCATGGCGCTAACAGCAGCTAGCGGCATGTGGCACCTCATTAAATTGCTACCAGTGGTGCTGCCTTACATACAAGGGTCAGTCCTTTAATAAAGCAGCTGAGGGGCAAATACAGCAATAAATCCCGGACTTAGTTGAACTGGTCACTTGACAGCGGGAAAAGGTACGTCTTTTGTCTTTTCTCAATGATTTACGGCGCGTATTAGTTGCATGAGTCTGAGGAGGATTTTCCACGTCACACAGCATCCTGGCTGGAATGCAAGTCGCTCTGATGGGAAAACCCTCCAGCTGTCACTTAATCCTTTTTTTTTTTTTTTGCAGGTTTTTGTGGCATCCATGCTATGTAATACGCAAAATTCTCCAGTTTCGGATGCGAAAAAGGGAAAAGTGACGGACGGCCAACTTCCTGTTCAGTTTCAGGAATGGGTAGTTGAGAATTTTTTATGCATCTTATTCAGAGGTGTGTGTACAAAAGTAGGAAAAGTACGAGAATAAATATCGTGTCACTACCCACCTCTGGTCTTGTAATGAATGACATTTTACACCCACTTTTGTGGTACCTCCAATTTTGTGGGACATTGCGAAAGTCATGTCAGGGGCCGAGTCTTCCTAACTTTTGGGGGCACTTAATTTTCTTCACGTTGAGTCCTGCGCCATGCTCTATGCCACATTTGTTGCCATAGACTAAAAATCAATTTAGTGCCACCTAATCTGTCAATTACCTGTAATACCTGCTTCTGATTGAATTATTTTTGAGGCAAATTTCATAGTAAAGAGTTCACTAAAATACTGTAGAGACACTCTGGCATTTGCACAAAATGGCTGCCTCAAACCAAAATGGCCGACTTCCTGTTCAATTTCAGGGAAGGGTCTTTGAGATAAATTAACATGATTTAAAATGATTAACTTTATATGATTAACACAAGTCCTGTAAAGACAGACATGTCTGCCAAATTTCGTGTTGATCAGCGAAACCGGCATCAGGGGCTCATTCGTCTGTATGTGTGTATATGTGCGTGTGTGCGTGCGTGTGCGGGCGCGCCACGTGCCCGCACGTTTGTACTCCAAGTTAGTTTTGGGTAGTTGCCAGTGTATACCTATTAAGAGGTCAGTTCAAAGGATCAACTCTGTGTTGAGCTTTTTCTTTGGCGTTATTTTTTGTTTTGTTTGTTTTACAAAAAGAAGCAAGGGCTGTTTAGAGAAGAAATATAAACACAGGAAGTTACCCCTCCCTCCCACATTAAGCATACAAGTCTTCCTTTCTTATCAAAATTAAGATTGTTGTTGCTTAAATTTTTTTTTTTTTACACTTGTGATACAATATGGCTAATGTCTCTATTGGCAGCATGGACGGATGTACTTTTGTGGCTCAAACATGTTGTCATTTGTAAGCATTAGAAAGATGAAATAGAATGGCCACGCCCACAGCATTTGGGAGCAAGGACAATTTTTTAACAATTTGAATGCTTTGTTTTGTATACTTCGAAAAAAAAATACCATTCAAATTTGTCAGGTTTCTTAACAAAACTCTTCTCTCTGGTGTGTCAAATTTACAAGACCTTTTTATTTGCACTTTACAGGGACTGACTGTTTTATTGGTTTTACGCTTTACTATTAAACAGCAGTAGGCTTCTTTTTACACTTGGGGGACGCATGATGCATGCTTGCAACCGTACTTACAAAGTTTTACAGATTTTGTGTTTTGGTGCATTATTTTGTGTCATGTGTTAACTAACTAACAAACTAATTAAGTAACCATATATATATATATATATATATATATATATATATATATATACACACACACATACAGTATATATATATATATATAGATATATATATGTATGTGTGTGTGTGTGTGTGTGTGTATGTGTCTGTGTCCCAGACAGGAAATCTCAGCAGGTGTCAAATGCGTCTTTTCATTGACAAAAATGAAGATTAGCACAAGAGTACTGTACAATTTGTTAAACTCACATTTCGGTTTCTTTTGGCAAATTTTTAATGTCCTTCCCAAAAGTCGAGCCTGTTGTATCAATTAAATGACGTCATATTTGTGTGTGGCGAGCAGGGTTATGTCACAAGTCCATATGACATCATGGCCAGGGTCAACTAGTTTTAACAACTTCACCTGTTTTGGATGTCATTACACATGCAACAGTACTAAAACGGCCCATTACCTTGGCATGTAACGCTGTTGTTAAAATTTAACAACCCTCTGGCGTGCACACACACACGCACACACATTTATGACAGCCTCGCTTAACTGTTTGCTTTGGGATGTCCCTACACTGTAAAAGTAAGTAACTACAAATAACGGGACTTGGGCTTCTGTTTTAACGCATAGCTAAAATATTAGGAGCAGTTGTCAATATGATGCAGTGCAGTTGTACAGCCGCAATGTTCTATTTATCTGACCTTGTCAATCAAAACTGAGCGTTGCACTTTTTTTTTTCTTTTGGATTTTCTCGTATTGAATATCGTGTGTCCTATGCCTGGGAAAAAGTGTACGCAACAAGACGGGAGAATTATTGTCGTTGTTTATTTTGGAAGAAAATCTGAGAAAACTTGAAATGATGATGCTTTGCGTGCATTCTTGCGAGCTTCCCTGCAGTGCGACTGGGCCCAAATCGATGAGAAATCTTTTCTCGGCTCGACTGTTAAAACGCTCATCGTCCTCGTGACCTGCACGGCAAATATGAAAAAAAAAATCGACGTTTGTGAGGCCTCGGTCTGAATACGTCGCAACGCAGGACGACACAATTGACTTGAAATTCGGCGTAGTTTCGAGAGGAAAAAAAGGAAAGGAAACGAGGCAAAATTCGATGTTAAATAATTTTTTAAAATCGTTTTGCCGCAACCTAACAACGACGGCGAAAAGGAAACGAATCATCACATATAAGCTATACGAGCCGCCTAAAAAATTTCCCGTTTTAGAGCTAGTACATTGGTGGAATTTGGTGATTTCATAATTATTCAGGAGCTATATGTGTTATGTGCCTTTTTAATGTAATGTTACAGGTTGATTTGATAGATTGGTTGTATTGTTGAACATGTAATAGAAGGTAATGATAATAGAAAGTAACAAAAAAATCAATAGATGTCATCGTTCATCACAATGTACATGTACAAAACACTTAAAGGTTGAAATAATCTAATGTGTATGTGATCGTTTTAGATCTCATTGTTTCATTCTTGATTTCTGTTTTTCCTACTTCGGTTTCGGGAGTAGATTACCTTGAATCTTAAAATTGATTTTCAGTGTTTTTGTCATCATCATGTTCATTATTATTGATTATGTGATATCTTCTTGCTCATCTAAAATAAAGGGCATCGTTGCACTATTAGAACAAGATGTATGACTTCGGAAAATATGAACAGACCACTGCAAAATGATCCGTTTCTCAAGTCGTGCCATACCTTTCAGTATATATTTGAATGAAAAGAAAAATCTTATTTTTAATTCAGATATTGTAATTTCCAGCTTGTCTGCCTAAAAATGGTCAAAACCACTGACGGGTGAATTTTTTTGTGTCCCTTTTTCAGAACGGTGTTAGTAAAAATAACAAATAAAATAGAAGAACATAACAAACGTAGCCTATTCACGCCTCATGAAGAAATAGATTAATACATTTGTTTTTCTTTTTTCCACCATTTTCTGTTTACAGTATTTTATTATCATTATTTTTCGCACTCACCTTGCACGTTGGAGTCCCAACAACAGCAAGCTGCGCGTGAGTGTTTGTGTGTATATGGACATCTGTCGTCCTCACAGTGGCGTCTGTTGTCGTCCACGGGTTTATTTTGACACACTCAGACCGCCAAGTCCAATAAACGACCCCCCGCACCCCCGTCTACGTCCGCACAAAGTGACTTTGAACCAAAGTGCCACAAAATGTGCAGCAGACGCTTTTTACAAGGGATGCACGCAAACAAATGGTGGACTGTAAATTATCTCCTCAACGGACACACGCACACGCATACACACACACAAATTCTGATTTTCAGAAAATGCATAAAATTGCGTGTGATTATTTTGAGACGAAAGTGCGAACATAACACACATTGAAGGATAAATAATAAGAATTAAATACAGCACTCGCTTAATTCAAGTGTCGGCTACAATGGTGGAACATGCATGATAAAAATGTGTAATTTGTCATTGAACATTTTTTTGAGAAAAAGAGGAAGCTGTTACGTTAGTATGCCACATTTTACTGTTGTGCGACCGAAAATTACATTTTTTTTCCATTTTAAAGTGTTTTTGTACATTTGAAATAACGGTTCAACGTTTGTCAGCTTTCAAAAACCACTGTAGTCAATACTTCATATTTATAGTCTCTAGGATTGTTTTTGTGGGATTTTTTTAACCATTTCTAATGATCTTTTACTATTATGTTTTTGTTTTTGTGAGATAATCAGCTATAATCAAGAATTTACACAGCTATTGTGATGTTTATTATTATTCAATGTTGAAAAGTTTTTTTTTTTACCCCCCGGAATTTTTCACAATTAGCTACAGTCTTGTGTTTGTGTCATTTCACAACACCTCATTTAATTCATTGCTAAAACGAAAAATAATAAATTATCTGTTATAAGATGTTAGAATTTGGAAATTGGAAATAATATTCTACTGGAGGGTTTATAGGAATATGAACCAAATTATGTAGTGCTCCTCAAACATCTAATATACGTAAGAGTATTTTACATTTCTGCGATTGGCTGGCAGCCAGTTCAGGGTGTGCCCCTATCATGCCCGAAGACAGCTGGGATCGGCTCCAGCACGCCCGCTAACCACGTTAGGATAAGCAGATCAGATAATGGATGGAGGTGAATATTTTGGAGAAGGCTGTTAGCCATTCATTAAACTTGAAAATGCAATTTTTGCATTTTTAAAAATTGCGTTTTATTTTGTAATTATAAAATAATGCAAAATGTAATAAATAATAATCATTAATAATAAAACATGTATTAATTAGATAGGAAAATGATTGTATGAAACATTATTTTTGTGATGTATTTGCTTCCACATTATTTATTAAATTACAACAAATAAAAATTTGAATTTGACTTTTAATTTGTCTAAAAATAAGTAATCACACAATCTGTTTTTTTTTCAATTAGAAAAATGCTCTTGAAGAAGACTTCTAAGAGACATGGAGTCATATTTTTTTTCAATATTAATTTATTTTCAAATCAGGATTGCTCTATGCCGACAAGATTCCAGCATATTTCTGCGTCTGGTTCATGCAAATGAGTCTTGTTCATGCAAATGAGGCTGAAAGTGGCCGTGCATGTTGCCGGGTGTAAAATATGTCTTCACGGCGGGCTGCTCTTAATTCACCCACTACAAGGGCTATAAAGAGGAGCTACACAGGCGTGTACCTTAATGTCTTTGCTGAAATAATGAGGATCTGTGCGCATATTTTAACATGCGTAATAGTAGGGTGCAAATATGTGCTGATTTGCATCATAATTGAATGGCCTTGGCTGAGGTGTGCTGCCTTATTACAGCTCAGTCAAGCAGGATAATTGTGCATGTGTGTCTGTGTTTGGGTGTTAGAGTAAAAAAAAAAAAAGTTTGGGTGAGGTGAATTTGATGCAACACAAACGCGTGTGAGTGTTTGAGGCTTTTTCTTTTTATGACGTCCATAACTCTTCACCGCGCACAGGAAGCATGCGTCATTAAAAAGCTCAAGGCCACATGCATCGTAATGCATGCACGTATTCATGCGTAATAATTTTCCGCCATATTCACGCGCCATGCAGTGCACGTATGAGCCATAGTGCGTGTGCGTGGCATCAGTTAATTTCTTTTGTCGACAATTTAGTCGCACACACGCGCATGCACGCGCGCACGCAACTGATAGGGACGTGCCATTATGCTTTATGGAAGGTGGTTCTGCTATGAATTTTGACATCCAAAGACAATGAAACGTGTGTTGTAACGCCTCCATTAGTGTGTGAAATACGCTTCTAGACAGTATACAGTATGAAAAGGGGAAACCGTCAGTTAAATTATGACGAATCTCGAATGCAGTGTAAACCCATTAATGTGGCCCATGTACACGTGCTGGGTCGAAAGAAATGGTCAAATAGCCCCAGCTAGCGGTGAGAATTATTATCTCGAGGAATAAATTAAGTACAGGACTGTACTTGCGACTATCCCTCATCCTAAATGTTTGATTTTGAACACACGCGTAAGTGGGAGTTGAAAAGCGTGTTGGGGGATCAAAACTACAACGCAAAGGATCGTTCGTTGGTCGGGAGAAAACACTCCCACTTATTGTTGTCGTCATTCTTCAGCGTCGTTTAACGCAATAGATTCATTCTGTCATGTAAAGTTTAACCTCTATCTAAAAAAATAATAGATATGGAAATAATCTTGACAAAAATGAAAATTTGTTTGGGAAGAAAAACTACATCGCAAATATATATTTTTTTGTAGCTTCAACCGCCACTTCCTCTGTCGTCATCTCTCCGCGCAGCTCAGATCCCTCTGTCAGTTCGCTCTGTCAAAGACAAACCGAAACGTAAAAAGTCTACTCTTTGTTTTGTAACACCGTCTTTCATGAAATGACTGGATAGTTGAAACCCCCAAACATCACCGAATGTAAGTACCTTGGATAATAGCAAAAGTATCTTGTAAATCTCGTCCTTGTTGCGCCTGCGTGACAACTGTTGTTGCGGAAGAAGCTAAGCAGCTAAATTAGCAAACCTGAGTTTTGATCTGCAGTGTACCTAAAGTCAACAAGTAAATGTTTTTTGTGGTTCTTTTAATGTAGGTATCATCCTGGCAAGTAGCCCGTATCCAATTATTGGGCTTCTATTGTCATTTATGTTAATGGTGAGGTAGGACAGTGCTATGTGGGCACTTGTTTAACTATCCTGCAGGCTGCTGGCATACGATGAGTGTTGCGTGGTTAAGAAAACCTCTATCTGTTTACTTTAATCACTGATCAAGATTAATTTGCTTTGCTGTAATTAGCACGGAGCAGAGTGTTGCATGTTACTGTATATGTGCATAGATTTGGACTAGTCTAGTATTCCAAGATTTATTTTTCCTTAAAACCTCAACAACAGAGCCCATTGTGATCAGCTTTTCCTTAAATAACGATGCAGGCAATTGGTGGTGGTTAAATACATAAGCAGTATGCACAGCATCGTTTTAGGAGGATTACATGTTGAAATTACCCTGAACGGGCTACTTGAACACTGCTTCTTCTGTTCCACAGTGAGCCAAAAGAATCAGCAAAGAGGCGCCATGGGGGCCGTGATCTCACGATGGAAGGTAAGCACGCGTTTCAATCACAGACCATTTTCCACAACTTCACACATACTTATTACAGGTGGCAAAAAGTGAAGCTTTCTGTGATGGCACCTCTAGTAACCAAACACTTACATGTCCTTTTGGCCATTGCGGAGTCGTTGAGAAAATAGGGAGAATGGTGTGAATTATGATTTTAGACTTCTTCTTAGCCACTGTAGCTTGAATGTGTGAAGTTTGCAGTTGAAAATATCTTATATGAGGTGAATTAGTTGATTTGCATTTCAACAGGAACGCTTATTAAAAAATAGACGTGGGTAACATGATCAGTGATGGAAATGACGAATTAATTTGCTTTTCTGATGCTCCGATTAGTGGCAAAGACATGGCAAAAAGACCTCAGGATCATATTTTCCAGCAAATTGTGTCCACGAATCGCACAACCTCAGTGGGGACGTTCCACTTTTTAGGTTCCGCTATGTTCCCCCTCACAAGCCTTAAATAGTGATATCAAAATCTATTTCTGTGCCATGTTGCCACGCAGGACCATAGTTTGAGTTACAATTCTCTGGAACCACCTCGTGATTTCTATGTTTAGAAATAGTAGAAGTCTCCAAGAGAAGGAAGAGCAGCCGTGACAGCAAAAACATTGAAAAAATGGTGAACTTGTCCATGAAAACTGCTTTTTGATTGATGAGCTTCCTTATCTCCTTGATGTATTTCTGTGTCATTTCCTGCAGACAAAACCAACCGCAGTGGAGCAGCTGGAGAACCTGGACAAGGTGATGGCTCCTGATTGCTTTTCCTCTCATGTCTTCTTTATGAACACCTGAGACTTGTCGAGACAATCAATCAAATATCGCGTTGTTTATTCTTAAAGCCACTCTGATGCGAACACACTATGTCATTGGTTCTCAAAAGTTTTTACTCCAAGTATCACCTCAAAATACTTGGCCCTCCAAGTACCACCGTAATGACAAAATGTACATTAAAATACATTTCATACCACATGATTCACTTTAAATGCATTTTGCAAATAAAAGTTTTAAGTTGTACCGAGACTGGAATTCAATCGATTGTCAATGCACGTGACACAAGTACAGAGCAACGAAATTCACTTAGCAATTACAGCCTATCCAAGCGACATTAAAACAGCAAAAAAAAAAAAAAACTCAAGTTCCCCTATACCGGGTTTAGGTAATCACTGCACTCTGCTGTTGGTGTCTTAAAATGACCATTAATCCCCCCCCCCACCCCCCTCTCCCCCCCTTTGTAGGAGATAAAAGAGCTGGAGGAATTTCGAGCCAAAAACCAGCGACTCCAAAAGGTCCACTACACTTCGAGGCTCAACTGTGGAGGTGCTCTTTGTTTCTATGACCTCACTGGTGTGTTTTCGTGTGCAGTTGTGGGTGGGCCGGCTTCTCCTCTACTCGTCAGTCTTCTACCTGCTGACCTTTCTGGTGGTCTATTGCCTCTACCTGCCTGACCAATGGCTTCGCAGATTAGCCATGGCGCTGCCTTTCTTCCTGTATCCGGTGCTGTGAGTAAACGCAAAGTTCATCGTCATGAAATGTCGTCCGCTTTGTCCTCCGCAATGAGCGTCTTATCTCTCCTCCAGGGTGTGGTTCATCCGCAAATTGCTCATTTTTCTTTTCTCGAAACGTACGGAGAGGAACAGTAAGTAGACAATTAAAACTGCTATTTTCTGTGCTATGTCTCTTTTGATACATATTTCGTTCTCATTGTTTTTTTTTTCAGGTGACATCCTGGAAGAATTGAAGGTCACCAAAAAAAAGATAGTACGTTTCCGTCAGCTGTTCCGATTCACGCTTTCGTTGACCTGTCTCTTTTGCCACGTTTCTCTGGGCTGGCTTTTTGAAGAAAGGTTTTGCACAATTGTGTCCCTGTCTGGAATTGAACTTTTCTTACTTTGTGTTTGCAGTTAGAAGAAGTGATGGAAACGGAGACATACAAAAATGCCAAACTCATCCTGGAACGCTTTGATCCAGACGGAAAGAAGAAAGCAGTGGGTGCCCCCCCCCCCCATTTTTATTTTAATTACATTTGAATATGTGCCCACTGATTTTAACTATTTAGGAGCTGGAGTCAACCCCAGTGCGACCTCAGATGACTCCCAGGCCAGGACAAGGTACCTGCCTCATGTGTTGCACAAATACGAAGCAGCACATTTTACATGTTAGGGTACAGATATTGTTTAAAAGCAATAACCTAACCCTATAATATTGGGTTTAATAGCGAATGGATCCTCGTGATAATCCCAAAACTTCCTCAAGGAAGATTAGAAAGCATCAGCTTTTTGATTATCCCCAAATATCGTCAGACATTCGCCAACGTGGAGTGGCCGGGAGACCCCCGGGAACCCCTGCTGCCGTGCTGATGACGCCCTCGCCTGGAGGTCGACCCACGCCGGGCCCCGGGGCGACACCTGTCGGTGGGTGAACAGCAAGCAGCTATTCACATGTTCACATTAATTGTATGTGTAGCTTGACGTTTCGGAAAGCGTTCAGACCACTTCACATTCCCATATTTGGCTATGTTCCAGCCTTATTTCAGCAGTGACTAAATTATTTTCATCGAGCCCTTTGGAGCAGGTTTTCATCCAAGATTTCTTCCAGTCCCTCAATCGTGACCATTTGATCAAATGCAAATTGAAGTGCATTGTAATGCTTGCAGTGAATGTGTATTGTCATGTTGTATGTTAGCGCTGGAAGGTCAATGCCACTTAGGTGTAGCAGTGTCTTCAGCCAGTGTTGCTCTCCCTCCAGAATGTGTCCTTCTCTCAGCTCCAGGCGGTCCACCCGAGAGAGGTGCCCTGTCCGCCGCTGTCCACCAGGGGGTAGTAGCCCGAAGCCCCACCTCCCCTATACCGGGTTTAGGTAAACTGAAATGACTGTCAAAGCCAAAAATGGAGAGATAAAGTGCGTGATGATGTAAATATCGATGTCCAGGCCTGCACCCTCCGGGTCCACCCCTGGCGAGGCCCGTTCTGCCCAGAGAGAGGGGCGCTTTGGACAGAGTGGTTGAGTACTTGGTGGGAGACGGACCACAGAACAGGTATTGATGAATGAATGAATGACTTACGCTACAGCAAGTTCACTATCGTCTGGTAGCCCGCGGACTGGTACCAAGTCGATGGCGAGCGATGGAGGGGACATGTAGGGATAAAAGAAAAGATTTGTGTATCTGTGTGAGTGTTATTAATATTATATATTTGGTGTTACCATTGCAAAAAAAGCATCCTATCAATTTCACTTTAACAAAAAAAGCATGAAAAAAATGCAATTAAAAAAGCAGGTCACCTTTAACTTACGGTGGCGCCTGACCTGCATCATCGGAAGTTTAAAAAAATATATTGTTCAAAGTTTATTTCATCTGTAATTCACTGATGGCACTGGCAAAGAATGGGAACCTGGAGCGCCAAGCAACCTGCACGTTGTCCGCGTGGTGGTGCTGTTTAGTTCTTGTCAGCTCACTTGAATGAACTCGTCTTCTCCACACCCTCAGATACGCTTTGATCTGTCAGCAGTGCTTCTCCCACAATGGCATGGCCCTGAAAGAAGAGTTTCAATACCTCGGTATGAACAACACAATCAAAATGTAAGGCGTAACTTTTAGAGTTAAAGAAAGGGGAGATAATGGCAAAAAGAAGTATGGAACTTTAGCACTGTGCTCTGTCGACATTAGATAGCGAAGTTTAAAAAAAAAGGGTGGAGGTTGAGTTCGCTAACTTAACCAGCTTCCTGTTTTGTTGTTTTGGTCGTCGGTCTTGCTAGCCTTCCGCTGCGCGTATTGCTACTTCCTGAATCCCGCCCGGAAGACGCGTCCGCAGGCTCCCAGGCTTCCGGAGTTCAGCTACGAGAGGAAGCTGCGGACCGAGGTGCTGTCTCCAGGACCGACACCGCGCTCTGGCGCTGACACGGAGGAGAGCGCGCCCCCCTCTGGAGGTGAAATACAATCACACATACTCACAGTAACAAAACAAAAACACATTTCAGTGATCTTTTTTTTCCATTTTCTAAACATATTTTTCTAAACAAATGTGTAAATCTCTTGCCAAATACAACATAGCTTAGTTTTATAATACCCAATGTAACGTTTCTGTTCTATTTAATTAATATATTTTAAAACAATATTTATCAGTAGTAACAAAGAAGTTGTGCACAGATTGGTGGAAATTTAGTCACTCTTTGTTAAAAGTGCGAATTTAGGACTAAGCCGCACTCTCCTGCTGCATTGTGTTCACCTCCCTCCATCTTCTAACCCACATTTTGCTTCATACCGAGCACGCTTCAGTAACAAGCGCATATGACCTTCATCGCCGAGTGCTGCGTTTGAACGCTGTGATCTTGCCTCTAGCCAAGGCGCCGGCGCCGTGGAGTTTGGTCCACAGTTTCCCTGTCCAGCAGAACCCTCAGAATCGAGCTCGGCAGAGTCCAGGTCCCTCCTCCCCATTCCCCACTTCTTCCTCCTTCTGTCCTTCCTCGTCCTCTATCTAACATCACTTCAACTGATTTGATCTGTGATGGAACAACCAGATGGTGGCGCTAATGGCACAGCTCACTGAGTGCTCCAATTATGTTGAGTCATTGTTTGGTGCCCATTCAGATAGGATTTCATTCTTAAGAGGAGTCTTTATTTATTTTTTGGGATCAACTTTGGGCTTTTTGTTTGAAGGCTATACAACAAGCCACTTCATTAGGTACACCCCCACCAGTTAATGTCCGTTACACGATGAGCTACTCAGGAGTGTAACATGAGAACTCCACAGCGATTGGACACGATAAGTCAAAATTAGTAGTTGGAAAAGTATTGGATGCTTCCTGCTCCTCCTGGAATTGAAATTTTCTGAAAGAGGATCAACTCTTTAATGATACAAAGTCTGAGGGTTTTATGATTCACTGGGATTGAATTGCTGTATTTCAACAAATAGAGATAAAGTGCCCCGGTTGGTCCCCTTAAATATTAAACCCCTCCCTGAAACAGAGAGCTCTCGTTTTAACCCATCATGGGAAAAAAAAGGGTAGCAAATGAAATCTCAGTTCTGGGACACTTGCTGCGAACCAAACCAGCAGCACCGACTGAAGCACGTGTGCAGTCTTTCATCTGAGCAATCCTCAATGAATATTGAAGACAACCTTGGGAGTATGTGACCATGTGTCCAAAAATGCGTTCATCAGGTTATGAACGGTGTGACAAAATGTATTTGAATTGTAAAATCGTTTTTAAGAGATGCAACGTTTTTTCCCCATAGTTGTCCTTATTTATTTCGTTTTAAATTCCACTTTCACTCTGTGTAAAGTGAATTATAGCAGTGACATGATTTCGTAAGATAAAAAAAAACATTACTCCCTCCATCTCTTCCAAAGTAACAGTTTATTTTTTAAACTCCCCTGGGCCACTATTTATAGAAATACAGGATCACTAACGTAGGTAATTGTGTATTAATCTGCCTTTGATCCACCACTTCACTTCCTCAAGTCTAACAGCAAATCATTTTCAGTTTTAATCCTCTCGACGATTACCTTTTTGGTATCCTGCATCTATCTATACCCGCACACTCCTTGTATGCTTACGGACCTCTCCGCGGCGGTTTCTCCTTAGACGAGCAGGAGCCGCCGGGTGAAGGCCGCCGAGCTCACGCAGAAATCACAGAGGCCGAGAGCCGGGTGGAGGAGGAGACAGACGAAGCGGAAGAATCTGAGGAGCTGGTCCAGGAAGAGGAAAAGGAGGACAAGGAAGAGAGAGACAAAGACTCCCCCGCTCATGCACCTCATCTGTCATAGCTGCGCAGGAAAAAGGTGTTTGCACTCGCCGCCACAGACAGTAGAAGCTAAATGCTAAACGGCAGGTGGATGATATTTCTTTTTTTTTTTGTGCCCCTATTTATGATTAAGTCTTTCATGCGTGAGTTGCTGTTTGAAGGCAAATTACATTCCTGATGCCTATCATCATCAGGAATGTAAAAAGTTATGCAAAGGCTATGTTAATAACATGTTTCATGAACTTAGTAGCCCACCTCCACCATCAAAAAAGTTACGTTTTTTTCCTTTATCTCATGAAATCATTGGCAAATTAATTATTTTGATAACACATATAAAGCATATCATCAAATAAACAATTTAACATTTAAATTGTATCTAATCAAATCATTTTTGAATTGACGAAATCATGAAATAACATGAAACGTAGTTATCCGTCAAGAAATAAGAAATTGGAGTGAATGAATTCATTGTTGAATAGAAAAACAAATTTTCCTGTTTTACACACGCATTTTACTATTCTACAAATGTGCCGGCCAATCTGTCTGTGTTAAAAATCAAACATGGCCCTCGAGCACGAAATTTTGCCCAGCCCTTATTTTAAATGGTGAACTGCCTTTAGCATCCCTTTAGCATGTTAGCATTTGACAAATGACTCTCAACTCGTGGTAGTTTAACCTGACATACAAAGTGGCATGGCAGCAACCGCTTCCTAAAAATTGGGGTGGGGGGGGTCATTTGCTTTTTGTGGGGTGGTACACAATAATTTGCGAGCTTGCGCTATCAGCTACACATCAGGAAAAGGACAGGGAGAACTGGCAACAGCATCAGAAATGTGCTGCCACAGCATAACTGAAATGATTAGTTTGCAAATGTAATTTCGACCAAGCTGACATTGTTCTCAATCCCTTTTTGGGTAATTTGTGGCAAGGCAGAATTCCCAATCACCCCATTCAAACATACAAAGTAGGAATTCCGAAAACAATGCTCTCATGCTCACTCGGCTGTCGCCATGAAATTGATTCTCAAGTAGCCGGAGATGTAGGATTTTCGATTCTTATATTTTTCACCTGCATTGTTTTAGAAATGGCGGACATTGTTTTTGTAGCTTGTCAGTTCGCTGGCTTTACGACTGCTGCTGATCATTTTTGATAGATAATGATCAGGACTTCACAAGAGCTGACTTTGAACTGCCACTTTATCTGCCGCTTTGTCCCTTTTTATAAGTGTTTGCCAAATGTCTTCTTGACTGCATTTGCACTGACTTTCCGAGTATATATTTGACCTTAAATAGTTGGATGGATGCAACTGTTACTTTTAGGTTCTCTGGCTTCCATGTAGCGGTGTAATGAACTGACTTATCCTTTAACTTGTATTTCTTTACTTTTTTTCATGTTTACATCCCGCCAGCGTGCTACTTTTGATAACCACTTTTATTTGAACTTTCAAGTGATTCAAGTGGCATGTTTGGTTCCATAAACACACCTGAGACAAAATGTTCCACTGTTTTGGACTTATTCAATTGTGATAAGTACAGTTTTACATTGTTTGGCTTGGAGGCTTTAAATCAGTGGTTCCTCACTTTTTGTTGAGCCAAAAGCACATAATTTTAATGACCGATCATGGCTCTCCTTCAGAAAACAGGTGAGCCGTGATTGGTCGTTACCTGAGCCCTGAGCAACTGTGATGTCATCTTCACTCGACAGCAACTGGCAAAATGGCCGCCCCCTGAGATGGATGCATTGTGATAGATGGATTTTGTTATTTAACTCATTGATCATTTCTGGTAGACATGAATGTACTGTGGCCCAGTGGTTGGGAATCGCTGCTTTCAATCAACAATGTCTTTAGCATATTTTTGGCACGTTCACTTAAACAACTTAATGCTAAATTACTGCGATTGCTACTTGAAAAATGTTAAAATTTAACCTATCTCAAATGTCTGTTTGATGCTCTGCTGGACTCAAAAGGTACTTTTGTCAGGTTTTCAAGACTGGCTGCTAAAATAAAAGTTTTTCAGCTTTAACATGGCTGCTGACGTAATAATTGAAATAAAAAAAAAACAGTCATTACAAGTTTATTCCCATCTTGCTCATGTACACACACAAAATCATATATAAACAAAAACAATCATAAGTGAGCTCAATATGAACTTCACTGGCAGACTGAGATCATCAAATCAACTTGCGGCTGCACAATCAATCACGTTGCTGGAAAAACGCCCGGCAACAACGCAGCCACAATTGCCTTATCGACACGCCATATATTCCTTTTTATTGTTCCAGTATGACATTGATTGTTACCTGGTTAGCATCCATCAATCAGTGAATGAATCAGGAACTACAAAAAAATGAATGACTGTAATCATATTGTTTTGATTATTTCCAAACATGTATAGCACATGAAAAAAAATATTGATAGGTTTATGTCTTTCTTGAATGTCACTGATCAAAACAAATCAATACAACTTCGAGACAGGAAAAATCTGTCATCCACTTGCTACAAAATACAACAAATTCATAGTCTGGAAGAACAAACAAAAAGAAATCCCCCCCCTTAAAAAAAAAACCCCAAAAAAACCCCAACATTGCTGTTTTGTGTGTTTGACATGACAGGAATCAAAACGGCAATGATCATGACCCCCCTCCCCCAACAAAAAACAGCTTCAAGTATGACCAGCGAGAATCGCAAGACGCGTCGTTAGCCGTTAGCCTTTAGCACTGGGGTGTCCAAACTCCACCCCGGCGGCCATTTAATGTACCGTGATAAGTTTTTTTTCGTTGGCCTACACAGCACCACTTTTTTTTTTCGATAAAAAGACATCAAAAAACATATGCACCTCTATCCTACAACCTCTAAATCAACTCAAAATGTCCGCTTTGATGTGAGACCTGGAGGAAGACGAGGTCTACGCGCGTGCTCGTTCACAGCGTGTTGAGCTCAACGAGTCGGCCGGCGAATACGGCGAGCGTGCCGATGATGCACACTGCCATGAAGATGCACAGGAGGATGTGATCCAGAACCATCGCCACAAACTTCCACTCCTCAGCTGCCTGCAACCAGGGCAAAGATTGGTGAGAAATAGCAAATACTTCATTTTAGGAAGTTCAGCTTGCCTCTGGAGTCCAATTGAGGTCAGTGTTTTGTTAGCGTACCTTAGCATAAACCACACACTAAGTGTGAGTCTATTTGAAAGGACACTTGTGTTTATACTACAACTTTTACGAATACGAGTAACAATTTAAATAAATACCTTATATGTTTTCAATGCCTGGTACAGTACTGCGCAGTTGAGTATGTTCACAGCCCTTGCTGGAGTGTGCCTTTTGTTTTCATGTTTTTATTGCTGACTAAAAGCACAAAAACCTGCATTTAATGCGTGTTTTTGAAGTATAATTAAACGTGGTTTTTAATAAAGGCACTCCTTCGTAATAATAAGAACTTTCATATTTAAATACGAGAAAAGGCCTTTATTTGTAGAGTGGAGTGTACAGTATTACAAAAGCCTTGAAACTATCATCCACTTGCAGTGACCCTCCACAGGCAGCAGATGGCGCCGCACCCACAGCACAGCAAACCGTACCAACTGTCAGGCCATGGCGGAGGTCTTCTGTTCTTACATTGTTAGATTCCTCGTCCGACTTCATGGTCTCTGCGATGTATTTGACGCCTTCTATGGCGCTCCGGACGTCAGGGTTCTTGATGATGGGTGACTGGTAGGGGACGCTGGTGGGCGTGGGGTTACCTGAGCCACATTAGCTTTGAGTTAAATCACTTTTTCCGGCACAACCGTTTGAAACGTCAATATACGGTCCGTTACAGAAGCCTTACAAAACTACCTGAGATGTCGGAGATGTCCATGTCTGTGGGAAACAATCGCTTCTGCCGAATCTCCTGGCTAGGACGCTTCATGGTGGAGAAGAACATCATGTTGGGGATTGTTTCGATGAATACCTGGCAGGACCCAATGCAGCACAGGAATCAATGTGGACATCTTCAAACAGTACTTTTCCACATTAAACCCTGAATTTGAAACCCGAACCCCGGTTTCAATCCCGAATCCTATATTGACAACATTAACCCTAGTTTTTAAATCCTAAACCTGACTTGAGTGAATACTGGTACTGGTCTGGAAAAATGTCCACCTGAACTAAGGAAGGCCTCGCAAATGTACGGCAGCCATTATTTGAGGAAATACGATCACATCAAACGACATCCTCCTACCTTGCGTATCCAAGCTGGCATGGTGTGCGTGCTGGGCGAGCGGTGGTGCGTGTTGATGACGATGACGGTGATGATGATGGAGGCGATGACGAACACCATGGTGAACAGCATGTACTTCCCGATGAGTGGCACCGCGCTGGACGTGGACGGAATCAGCTCCACGATGACCAGCAGGAACACGGTGAGAGACAGCAAAACGGAGATGGACAGCGTCATCTTCTCGCCTGGAGAGAATCATACGAGGCCGTAAGTTTAAAGTTTAAAGACATTTTTTGGGGGGTTGAATTCTGATTTTCTCAAAATCTTGCCACATTTGCACATACCAGAGTCTGTGGGCAGATAGAAGACCAGGCCGGTGAGGAATGAGAAGAGCATACAGGGTATGATGACGTTGACGATGTAGTAGAGCGGCAGTCGCAGCATCAGGAAGTGGTAGGTGATGTCCAGGTAGGGCTTGTCGGGACAGCACGTGTAGTAGACCCAGTGCTTCCAGCTCCGGTAGTCCTTCAGAACCCACTCTCCGGACTCCATGAAGTTACTCAGGTCCGGACGATCGCTGTCCTGCATGTGCACAGTTTATTCAGGTTGTATGCTCATTTTCAACCATAGAAGAATGCTCCTGTTCACTTTTTAATGTAGTCAATGTACAAACCAAATCAAATGTGTACTTCATAAGACTTGAATAATACAAGTATAATTGTACTCATAGGCATATATTCCTTATCCTCAGTGAAGCACGTCTAACTTTACTGCTGAGGAGTTGTGATGTCTCTTGGTGAAGAATCTGCTTGGTTGTTTCCGGATGAAGATAAAGTACTTTATACGTCACCCAACTGTATTTAAGTTCTTTGGAAACTTTTGTTTCATGACCATAAACGCCAGTTAATTCCCATCCCAACTTTGAAAATAGCGTTAATTTTGCAAGCCTATCGGTCATCACCGGTGCATCGGCACGAACTGACCGGATTGATGACAACCAGCAGGCCGTCGTACGTCCACGTGCCGAGCTTCATGCTGCAGTTCTGCAGGTCGAAGGGAAAATGGAGGACGATGATCTCGCAGTAGCTCTTGAAGATGGCGGGCGGGTTCCATGTGATCTGGCCAGTGTACTCCAGTAGCACTTTGGTCTCGTGGATGATAGCGAAATCGCCGTCGGCACTATAAAACGATGACAGGAGGCACGGCGTAAGATCTGGATGGATGTAATTTGGATATGTAGAGGGAAAGGATATCGACAGAGCCTAGCCGCCG